CAGCAAACACTTTGTCAAACCCTCCAAATGTATTTGTTAGAGTAACAGTTAACTGTATTTATGTATGTTAAGCTAAAGCATTGACAGTATGAATGCAGCTTCTGTTATAATTGTGCCCAGCGCTCCGCGATTCAAGCAGTCCATTCCAGTGGTCCGCTCTAGCACACTCAATCTACCAGCATGTAGAGGCATGTCTCAAAACAACAACGTGTGCCAGTAGTAGGAGCAGGCTGATGGCTGGGCATGCCGAAATGCTCATCTTCTTAAAAAAAGAATCTCCACATCATGTTTTTTCCAAGACGAGCAAGGTAAGGAGAAGGGACACTGAGGTAGATAGCAATATTAAGCTTATCAATATACCGTTGTCTCTATGGTAGGCATAGCGTACTAAAATAATCCTTTGCCATCTTATTATTAGCTAATTATTAGCTAGCTGTAGCTAATAATTTTAGCTAGCTAGCTAGCAATTCAGTCGTGAAGACTTGAAGGCGCGGCTGCGGAGGCAGAATGACAGCGAACAAGGGAGGAAGCGGAGGGGAAAGCGGGCCTCGTTTCCCCTTTGGGGGCGTGGCTTTCCGATTATGACATGTTGCGCTCTGTCTCTATGGTGAGGAGGGGGTTTATAAACTCGCATCGTGTGTGTTTGTGTAGGAGCCTTAACTACTCCATGAAGTATCGGATGGCATGGTTTCATCAATTTTATCATAGCTTTTTGGTACACAACAGCTACCGTTGTTGCAATGCGCATTTGAAACACTGAGGTGCTAGTTTGAATGCAATATATGATTTCAACGTTAGATGGGAGAAATTCCTACACACTGTGGCTTTAAGGCCCCTGGGATTGTGCCCAGTAGGCCCCTTCAGTAATTTATTAATCTGTGCGTGCATTATGCATTTCCCCATCATCAGTCAGTCATTTTGTTTTCTGTCTATCTCTCCACTGTGACTGAAAGTGTGTGCACTCACAGTTTTAACAAAATGTCAAATGAATTGGTTGTTTGCTTTTTCTGCTTCTTAACATTGAGATGGATAAGTCAGAGTTTATGATGAATCTGGGTACAAATCCTAATTGTCTCAGATTAGTTATTTGTGATGTCAAAGTTTTTGAGAGCATAAACAGAGAGATGTTGAGCTTTTCAAGTGATAATCACTAAGTGTGTGCCTTAAAGGGGCAAAAAGCGAAATCGTTTCACCGCTAGGTTTGCTGTTGTACACTGCCTGTAGACCAAAACAAAGTGAGTCATGAGCCACTCCTCCCTCTACCTCTGCTCTCCAAAAAGTGGGAAGAAGCAGTGGGTTTATCGGGCAGCTGAGTGAAGCTGGGTTAAGTGGAGGCTGCGGAGGAAACACTGGGATGGGTTAATGTCCGGAGCTTGAGCAGCCCGCTAGGCTAAAACATCGCTCTCACTCATGGAGAAGAGTAGAAACGTTAGCGTTAGCTCCTGGTGTTAGCACTAGCCGGGATCTGGCGATGGCTCTAGCCGAGTCGGTTCACCTGGCTCGCGGGCTGCTCAAGCTCCGGACATTAACCCATCCCGGTGTTTCCTCCGCAGCCTCCACTTCACCCAGCTTCACTCAGCTGCCTGATAAACCTAATGCTTCTTCCCACTTTAACCTGAAGTGAAGTTTTAGCCTAGCGGGCAGCCCCCGAGCCAGCTGCCCGCTAGGCTAAAATACAGGCTACTGGAGTAACTTACAGCTATGAAGCGCTTCTACCAGCTCTTCTAGTCACTGAGCCTTGCCTCCATCTCAGCAAATATATTACAAAAATGTAGCCTCGAGGGCTAAACGCCTGGCTCGCCAGGCTGCCCGCGAGGCTGCATTTTACAATGCTAATTGAAAATGTTAGCTGGGCTGCCGGGCTAATTTACTCACTTAACACAACCGTAACGTCTGACCCATTGCTGGGACCGAGCCACTAATAACTCAAGCTCCAGACATTAACCCATCCCAGTGTTTCCTCCGCAGCCTCCACTACACCCAGCTTCACTCAGCTGCCCGATAAACCCGCTGCTTCTTCCCACATTAACCTGAATAACAAACCAGGTCTGGGTGCTCTGGTTGGATCCAAACAGAGAGCCGGGGCTAGTTGGGAAGCTAGCGGAGGCTAACTGGCTGTGCTTCCCTCCGGTCATATGCTGTGGCTAACGCCTCGCCAGCCGCTCCCAGCTAGCTCCGGATTGTGGCTGGCTGTAGCCTTTTATAGGGAGGGAGGGCCAAGGGCTCCGAGAGGAGGGGGGGGGGGGGATTCACATGAACTTACATGAATGCGCAGCCGGACCAGCTTGTAAACAATGGGCTGGAGATCAACACAGAGAGAGGGTGTGTGAGGTCATGCTATATTCCAGATGAAATTACACCTCGAGTTCTTCACATAGCAATTTTTTAATTCCTTCAATCTAGAAATGATGAATTTCGCTTATTGCTCCTTTAAAGTGTGTCACCCCTTAACCCTGTCAAAAATTGCTGGGGTTTGTAACTTTTCAGAAATTATTTGTAGTTGTAGAAAAGAACATCTAAATTAAATTTTTACACAACCTGTCACCTTGATTCTAATTTTTGATACATGGACTAGCCTAACTGGATTAATTTAAAGGTAAAAAAAAAAAAAAAACATATAGAAAACATAATGATTAAAAGTTGACTACAAACTGTGAAGGATAAATATCTCTAAAATCTAAAATAGCTGTCAAAATGAACACTGGATATGTGCCTCTTCCCTGCAATGAGACCTGCCATTACTGCTCAAGGCCTTAGTGAAGGACCCCTTGGAGATCTGGAGCGCTCCTCTCTAAAGACACTATGTTTCCATCCAAAAGTGATTCGAATCATTGGGAAATGCGTATTAAAAGAAATACGAATCCTGTGTGTTTCCATTAAATGTACGGACTTTGGTGAAAACTACGAACTTGCGCGAGTTTTCCCCAGAACCGGAAACAAAACAAGTCTTGAATGTCATTTGGTGAATGGCTGCTTGTGATTGGAGGAGAGTATTACCTAGAGTCAAGTAGATGGTTCTGCCTGTGCTAATAGAAGTAGGGTTACAGTATCATAACCTTTGTCCTTGTGTATGCTTGTTTTGTAATATTTTGATGGATGTGCAGGCAATAGACTGAATGATTGCAGTGTAGCACTGGATTAGCAGCTCCTGAGGCAGGTTGAAGCGTAGACCATCACAGGTTAACCGTACTGACAAAAGAAACTACTCAAGAGGTAGCTCATATCTGTCTGTATCAAAAGCAACACAGAGAGGACTGAACACTGTGAAAGTTTTAGACATCAGAGATTACAGCTTAATCATTGAAAAAAGGAAAGGAGAGGTGAAATCTATAGATATGAAGGATGCCAAATTACGAAAACAAAAGTACCCATGCTGCCACGCCTATAAATTTTTTGGGGAGCCATAGTTTTTTATGTACACTGACATAGTAGCTAATTGTAAGTTTTAACTTATTTTACAAGTTATTACATGGTTAAGTCTGTTAAAATCACAAAGTTTTAAAGTTCAGCTGCTGTAGTGGATACCAACTTGTCCTAGAACACAGAAAGTAAACCTTAGGAACAGGTTTCATTTTCTCACAAGGGCCAACGAAAGCAAGTCCAAAAAAGATGGCATTTGGACTTTGGCTGTCCATACACACATTATGACTGTTACAAGTAAAAGTCCTGCATTATACTAAAATGTACTTTATGTAAAAGTACAAAAGTATTAGCATCAAAATATTTTTTCAATACCAACAGTAAAAGTACTCATTATGCAGAATGGCCCATTTCAGAATAATGTATATTATATTTTGGGATTCTAATGGTGGCCCTGGGAGTCAAAACACAACAACTTTACAGAAAAAATGAGAATAACGCAGTGAAAACACAGCAAAAGGAATTACTTCCATTTGTTGTATACTCCAATCTGCATCTTAACAGTGACAAGGAATTATTGTTAAATACATACCTACCTATTCCAGTTGAGTCTCACCAAACGTTTTCCTTTTTCCTGTTGTGGTTTGTGAAATGTTGTGTATTGTGCAATGTTGTTGTTTTCTGAAAAGTTGCTGTGTCATGTAAAATGTTGAATTTAGTGAAATGTTATGTTTTGTAATGTTCTTGTGTTTTTTGAAATGCTGTTTTGTGAAATGTTGTGTTGTCTAAAATGTCATTGTGTTTTGTGAAATGTCATGTTTAATGAAATGTGTCGTCCATAATGTTTGTCGTGTTTTGTGTAATGTTTTGTTATCTAAAATGTCATTGTGTTTTGTGAAATGTTACTGCATTGTCTAAAATGTTGTGTTTTGTGAAATACTGTGTTTTATAAAATGTTCTTGTGTTGTCTAAAATGTCACTGTGTTGTGAAATGTTTGGTTTTTACCTTCCAGGCCACTATAGATTCTCATCATTGATGCATTAATGAGTACAACCAACACTTTAATGTTGCAGCTGGTAGAGGTGAAGCTAATTTAATGACTTTGTTTGGCAGCTTGTGAATTTCCCCCTCCAGATCAATATAACCGTTTTTATAATCTTATCTTAACCTATGATAAAACATCAAGATAAAACATCATGATTTATTTGGTGATTATATTTTGTATAATAAATCTGAATTTGTAAAGTAACTACAAACTAACATTACTAAATGAACATTGTGGAGTAACAAGTACATTTGTTAAGTCCAGTTACTTATGTTACTTTCAGTAAGTAAATGTACTTAGTTACTTCCTCCACTTACATTACAATTCCCCTTGTCCAGAGCAATAAATGTAGGACTGACATACTAAAGTTTTTTTCTATGAAGCTATGATATTGCTTTAGATTTAGATGATATCACCATGCCAGTCTTTATGGTATATCCCAAAGCACAAGTAAAACAATTTTGCGTAGTAACAGAAGTCTGAGCACAGAATTCCTAAAAAAAAAATCTAAGGACTTTTACATCTGCCATGTTGGGAAGTCCTGATGTTTACCTGTACATTTGTACTTGATAAACACTTGATAAACACTTGTTATTCCATATGAGTTTTATTTAGCATATTTCTTGTAACTTTGCTTCTTTACTGCTCATAACATGTCCACAAGCTTCCCTGGTGGATCTGAGTCTTAAGAAACTTGACCACTTGATATTTCAATCAGTTGTTTTTTTCCACTTTCTAAGTCACATTTTAGGCACTTAGAGGTTAAAGAGGAGCACTGCCACATTTTCCATTGATCAACCACGTCTTAAGACACATTTATACAGTACTACTGTCATCAGTTTATGGTTATGGGAGGACTGCTTAGATAGAGATTTGGACAAGACCAAATGATACAATTGCTATTATAAGCAGAGAAAATAAATAATACTAAAATCCAAGTTTATAATAATCATATTAACTGCAGCCAGGAAGCCTCACATGAACCAGCAGTTGAAAACTGCCATGCATTTAAAATGTCAAACTCCCCACTGCATTTGTCCTTGACACAATCCTCCAGTTACAGTGTCAGACTTATTGTAAGTTGAATTCTTGTCTTTATGAAGTAAAGTATGGTCTGCCAGCTATTCTCATCACCCTGTAAGTGTTGAGTCCTGGAGAATCAAACCCTGGTGACACACCTTTCTTGTTGAAGGGGTAAAAGTTGAAGAGCTGTCTGTCCTGTGCCTCCAGGGAGATTGAGGCACTGTTAACCTTTAGCTTGCAAGGGTATGGGCTCTCAAACACCACCCTGAACACCCTGTCCTGCAGGTAATCCAGCTGAATAGTTCGGTACTTGGACGGCACGGTTGTGTCCACCTGTGGTCCAAACTGCTGCATGACCAGCACCCCGTCTGAGTCCACCTTAATCTCATAGAAAGTCATATTCCTGTAAGTGAAAAAGCCCACATAAGGGGCTGGATTGGGTGGCGGTCTGAGAGTTCGTTTAACATCTCTGAAAGCCCTCTCCACTGCAGGGATGAGATAGCTGTAAGCCTGGCTCACAAGGTCCTGTTCAGCAGGCCGAACACCGGCCATGAGCACTACCATTCCCAGTTTGAGTCGTGGCACCAGAGACAGGGTGGCTGCATAACCGTCCAGGTCACCATCCTTCCTCACCATATCATAGCCCAAATGCTCGTTGATCTCCCATGGTGTGCCAGTGAAGTTGGCAAAGTAGCCACCGTGGCATCGGAAGACTGGGGTCAACATGGTGTTCAGAGTATCCTGGCGGAGCAGGGTCCCACCGTATGCACCTAGAAGAGCCATCATGAGCTTGGCCATGTCAGCTGTTGTGGAATACATCTGGCCTGCAGGTCGGTACCAGCCAAGGTTGTAGAGGGGAGCTGGCTGGCCATTGCTGAACACACCTACAGCCATTTGCCTCTGAATGGCTGGAGTTAAGTTGAAACCAGTGTCCTCCATACTGAGCCGCTCCAGGATATTTTCTGACACCCAACTCTCAAAGTCTGAGCCAGTCACCTTGTGAGCCAAGATGTTGGCCAGTAAGGAAAAAGCAACATTGCTGTAGTGGCATCTGAGGGAAAAGAGACAGTAATGTCACAAATGTTCACAAGTTCTCTCTGGATACAAAATCCTTAAAGATTCCTTGGTCTATACATGGACATGAACCTCCTCTTCTCTTTCAGGCCACAGAGATGCACACAGTGTCAAAAGTCGTCACAGTCAAAAATAGGGCAACAAAGGAAGGAAACAGTCTTACTTGGTGCCTGGATCTGTCACAAGGACATCATCCTTTAACAAAGTGAGGGCTGCCTCCGTGTCTCCACTCCAAAGGAGATTAGTTGACCTTAATCTTCGGGGCAACCCTGTGAAAACATCAGAAAACCTTAGTGAGTAAAACTGCTGAGTAAATGTGTGGACAGCTTTGTCTATGAATTAATGAATGTATTGGCTGCTTAAAAGACGGGACTAAACTCAACAGCCATACATGAAAATAAGTCACAGATACGGTACACTGCATCTGTATAAGAACCTAATCCATCACTTAGCATTGGAATTACGATATGTCTTAAAACAGTGCATGCAAGTGAACAAGCAGAAAGACTTGCTTTCAGTAAAGAAAGAGTTTATGCTACTGTCAGGTTAATATAGCAAAACTGCCTGGGATCCACCCAGAGGAGCCTCAGATGAGTGTGTGCACTTTGGTACAGTGTTTCTGTCAGTATTTGAATGGCGCTGATATCACACACATCACCAGCAGGTTGTTTGGTTATATATGCCACACAAGATTTCGTTCTACAGATGAATTCAAAACTGCTGACTTGATATTCTTTTTCAAGAATTGGCTTGGATAAAATTTACAATAAGACTTTGTAGGGATGGCAGTGTCAGTCATTCAGTCGGTTGGTTGGTCAAGATTGAAACACCTGAGGCTTTCAAGGTCCTAACATGATATGTCCTAATAACACTGGTGAGCCTCTGACTTTCACCTTGCACAATCAAGGTGAAATCTACTCATATCATCTATAATTATGCAGTGAAATATCTCAACATCTACCCGATGGATTGTCCCATAATTTTGTACAGACATTCATGCTCAGACAATGTATCTTACTGACTTTTATCATGAAGGTGATTTTCTGTTAAGAATGAAATGTCTTAACAACTACTGGATGAGTTGCCATGGGTTTTGGTATACATACATGTGTCCTTAAAGCTAAATTGTAATAACTGATCCTGATAGACTTGTTCAGGGCCTCAGCAGGGCCTCCCCCTCTCTTAATCTCTTCTTTTCCTTCTGAATGCACAGAGCTGATTAGCTCTATATCTGGAAACAGCTCAGTGTAAATATAGCTCCTCTTTCTGTCCATTTAAGCCTAGGTTAGCTAAGGTGCTGTGGTGGGTGGTGGAGACATGTCCTTAGCAGGAATGACATGGTGATTATGATAGTCTAGACCAGGGTTCAGCATTCTTTACTATCAAAAGAGCCATTTTCCAAAAATAATTAAAAACAAATCTGCCTGGAGCCCCAAAACATATTTAAACCTTATGGTAACACTGCGTATTAAGTCTAATTAGACTATCGACATTAAAAATAGGTCTAAATGAGCATTCAAAAATATTTGTTTTACCACAGCTAGTAGCTAATCTGCAGGGGGCTGTTTATGATTATTTGTTACTTTAACTTTGCAGCACTGGTGGTGAAAGCAAACAAATCTGTCCACTTACTATTAAAGGGACATTGTGTAACATTTTCAGTTGTTTATTGGCAAATAAAAATCGATGTCTGCATTCATAAAGTCATCATTGGTGTATTATTACCTCCACCAATAATCCGACTTATTCTCGTAAAAGAATTTCTGATTTGTATGTACATTGTGCGGGTAAGTCGTCTGGGTAGTTCCATAACGTTTTGCCATCTTGAGAATACATTCGCCAGCAAGGGACATTCAGCATCGTCTTTGGTGTTTTCGTTGAGAGCCAGGCCAGTGCTGCGTAACTGAGAAGCCGAAAGAGAGGAGCAAAAGGCGTTTCGCTACTACCCTGGCAAATCTGAAACAAAGTCCCACTCTTTGAGCATAATGCAGGATCATGCATATGCAGCATCACGGGAGACAGAATCCTTGTCTCCAAGAAAGCGCAAAAGGGAATCAAAAAGGCAACGTGACCGGCGAAATGAAAAAAAACGAGGGGCAACAGCGGGGTAGCCTTTCCCATGTGGAGAGAGCTGCTGAAGGAGAAAGGTAATGCAATCACAGGCCAGTGCCGCTGTTAGCTAACAACGGCTAACCGCTAACAGCAACAAGTGGCTCAACCTCACACATCTCCCTCTCCTCGCATCACTGCTAACAGCTAACAGCGGCACTGGCCTGTGATTGCATTACCTTTCTCCTTCAGCAGCTCTCTCCACCTGGGAAACCCCGATGTTGACCCTCATTTTTTTAATTCGCTGGTCACGTTGCCTTTTTTATTCCGTTTTGTGCTTTCATGGCAACGAGAACTCCGTCTCCCGTGATGCTGCATATGCATGATCCTGCATTATGCTCAAAGAGTGGGACTTTGTTATGCTGCAGTAGTACCGGGGTCAACCTGATCTCTCAGAAATACGTGAAATGACCACGACCTCTTAACACCGCATTCCATGGTGGCAGCACATAATGAGTTAAAATTATGTACCGGTACCACGGAAACAATGCCAGTGTAAAGTCAATTAAGAACAATACAGCAAAACATACAAACAGATACCAGAATAACAATACCACAAGGCAGGGAAGAGAACAGGCACTACATCATATCATATATCAATAAGTATAACAACAACACTTGTAACATATAACATATAATTAGTATGGCATACACTTAAAATAAGTCAAGGTGAGTCAATCAGTAATGTGCATCTACACAGCTACTGCAGCTGCAACATTAGAAAAAAACTGTTTAAGTAAGAATTTATACCTCTCTTTGGAATCTACCAACACAATATAAAGTGGCAACGAATTCCATCCCAGTATGGCTCTGTACAAAACAGATTTCTTTAACACATTGGTATTAGCCTTAGGCAAGATGAACCTCCCCTCAGTAGCATTTCTTGTCAGATAACCATGTCGACTAAACTGACAAGAAAAAATGTAATACAAATCATTCGGAGACTTATTTACAATAATATTCCTGAGCAAGTGTTCTTTGAGTGACAGTTAGCCTACCCAGTCTATCATGCATATGTATCACATTAGTTCTGTAAAAGCACTGTAAAACATAGCATGCTGCTTTATTTTGAGCAACTTGTAATTTATTTAAATCCTTCATTGAGGCACTAGACCAAATTGCAAAACAGTAATCGAGCTGTGACAGAACTAATGCATTTGCTACTTGTTTGGCAATATCTTGTGGTATGAATTTTAACACACTTTTTTACCATTGAGACCCCTCTTCCCATTTTACTCACAATATGATCAATGGGTCTCATTCATGAAATATGAGCAGAAGGAATTTGTGTGTAAACTGTTCGCAGACGGAAATTTACTTGCATGTCCGCATTCATCAATATTTTAGTAGCTCCGATCTTTTTGTAGCTAACAAAATCTACTCCTGCTCCTGACCACTCGTAGTGCTTGTGTAAATTTAGTAAAGCACAAAGCCTAAATATTACTTGTCACTATTAGAAATTACAATTTTAATTCGTATTGCACTCTGTTATGTACACAATACACAGATGCCTTTGAAACACGTAATCTAAACATGACAAAAATATTAAAAATATAACACATTTAGTTAAATTAGTTGGCAGCAGGTTTAAGATCCAGATTAGGTTCATGATTGTGAATTATCTATCATACTTGCCAACTCTCCTGATTCACGCGGGAGACTCACGATTTTTAACCCTATCTGCCGCGATGCTCCAGGTCAGTAATTTCTCCCGCTAATCTCCCGATTTTACAGTGAAGGAAACAAGTAATATTGTGGGGGATATTTGTCACAGTATCTGGCAACCCTGGCCTGCCTGCGCGTATGAGGCAAGCCGGTGACGTGACTCAGTCACTCGCTGGAGGTAGTGATACGCCAAGTAGCATTGTCAGTTCAGCGACCAGACAGAGATGGATAGAGAAAGAGAGACACCAGGGCCACACCGCCCACGGAAGTGCTGCGAAGCACGGTGCACCAAAATTCTTGCGCGAGCCGGAGCACTTCCGTTCACATCAGACGCGCATTTCTCCACGCTGGTCGACAAGCGGTTCTGCTCCCAGCTGTTGTCTCTGTCACCCGGCTTGACACATTCGCTCGCGGCTCGCGCAGAAAATAGACCAGACGCTGAAACGACGGAGCCATGGAGCTATTTTTCACAACCCAATGTTGGCAAGTATGATCTATGTAAATCGACTCAATAGATTACACGTTCTTTCTACATGTTGAATGATGATAATAAAAATATAGGCTCTGCTCATCTGCAGCAGATAGTTGTGACTGTGAGCCTCCTCCTCCTGTGGCTACTGTATTTTTTTGTGTGCGCTTATGTGTTTCTTTGCCTCCAGTTTCAAATCAAACCATTTACGCTTCACCTCTGACATGGTTCTTTGTACTACGGAGACAACATTAATAGCATCTGTTACCTCCTTCCAGGCCTTCACTTTGCCTGTCCCTGTCACACCACTACTAACTGAAGAAAATAAAATGTTTTTTCTTCAGTCCACTTCACCCAAAATTATTTTGATCTCTGCTTCAGAAAAATTCTTTTTTCTTTCTCTCTCTTTCTTTGTTTGTGACATGACTGACAGGTCATATGGTGGTCATTGGCTATTCATGGGCGGGGATTTATGCTAATTGCTGATTATCAGGAGCGCACTGTCACTTTACGATGGATTGGCATTCATGATCATACACATGTGTTTACGATCAAATCTGAGTTTCCTGCGGCGTTCCTGAATCCGGAGTAGGTTTTTAGTAGCGTAGGCTTTTATGTGCAAATCTACACACAGATTTACTAACTTTTCATGAATGAGACCCAATATGTTTAGACCATGTTAAATGTTGATCAACAGTTATACCAATAAGTTTAGTCTCATAAATTTGTTCAACAGGAATATTATCAATTTCCAATACCAAGGAAGGTTCATCTCTCAGCAGATACCTTGACCCAATAATAGATTTAGTTTTCCCCACATTCAAGACCAGTTTGTTTTTAGTTACCCATTCTGCCACTAACCTTAAATCGTATTGTAACTTATTATTTAACTCCACTGTAGACGACTCTGCTGCATATATTGTACTATCATCTGCATACATGGCAATTTTAGTTTTTTCAAGCACAAGTGGGAGATCATTCACAAAAATAGAAAATAATAACGGTCCAAGACAACTCCCTTGAGGC